GGGCTTTATAGTTTGTATTCATGTGACATCCCCTGTGCTGAAACCCTCACATAAAACATTGGAAAAAATCCCCATTAAAACAAAAAACCTTTTGATGGGGAGAGAACTTCAGGTAGAACGGCAGATCCCTCTCCTGTGTTGGACAGAATGCAATGGTTGTCATGTGTACAGAACGAAGACATAAACTTCAGTTCGTATGACAGAAGTGGTTCAAATATACATTTTATGGTCTTAAATTCCTTATTTATGGATTCATGATCTCCTGCCCGTCAGTTGAGAAAAAATAAGATCAACCATCTTCTTTGATATAATGGCATAGATAGTGTAGGTCTATGTGCCTTTTCTGTTTTTTGCATTCTATGATATTAGAGCAAAGAGAAGAAAATATATTGTCAGATGTATGTGTGTGTGTGTGTGTGTGTGTGTGTGTGTGTGTGTGTAGTGAGCACATCCTAAGGATAAAGGGTGTAATGTTCAGCCTCAGGCCGCTCAAAGTGGTTGCTGTGCTTGGCACCTGGGACCTCTGTCTCTCTGCAGGAATTGGCATGGAGCCGGCAGCTCCTCTAAGAGCCAGGTGTTGTTTTATTTATCTCAAAGCACAAGTAACCTTTCTAGAAGAACGCCACGGAGAGACCTACCTCTGAGTGCTGTCTGTTTCCCTCTCCTCTCCTGTCGAATACCCCCCCTGTGAAAGATGAGATCAAGAGCCATCAGCCAGGTCTGTCCCCAGACTGTCAGGGAAACAGACCCACCATGAAGCATTTCTTTATTTAGTTTTAACATAAGGCCAGTCTGCCTCCTTCAGTTTCAGCTTGACCATCTTCCCCCTCAAGATTAACATTTCTAATACAATCTGTGAGGGCAAACAATCAGTGGTGCTGTGTTCAAACCTTTAAAATTTCTGTTTTATTTGCCGTACCAACATTCTGTTTTTGCCATTCCATTGTGAGAACCTTTCTTTACTAACATTCTGTTTGGTTAGTAGGTATGATGGTCATACAGGTCAATGGTAGATTGTCACATATAACATGAATGTGACACATTAAAGTTCTCCATAGTTTCCTGTCAATATGTTAACTACATCACTGGCATCGTCGTTTTCGAATTATTGAAATAGACTTTCACCTGGAAACCAAGAACATTAACATTTTGAACGAAGAGCTGCATAGTGTTTTAAAATACTTTCAACATTTATTAATATTAGATATGGCTTCGCCGCCAACCTCGGTCGAGGCTCTGGCAGAAGATAGATCGCGGCAGCTCCTGCGGCCAGGACTGGATCACCTCTTCGATAGGGAGACAACGCCGACACCATTCTACCCGAGGTTCCTTGGTGCTTGGAAACAACACAATATTATTTTCCCAAAAGATAGATATTTAGAATTCCATCAGCTCGGAAAACCTATATTACACCAAGGGATCTGTTATGGTGCCATAGTTGACTGCATGATCAGTCAATAAATTCCACAGTAGGAACTGCCAGGTTGTTGTCACTGTTTGTTCTGTATGACATTTGTCAAAGAATGTCTACAAGGTTAAAGCAAACAAAGATGTCCCCTTTTTGTACATAATGTGATGGGACCTGAACAAAAGAAGTCATGCCCGCCTGGAGTCACTCTACTTTTAATCCTCCTTTCTGCATTATGACAAAGAGACATTGGAGTGAAACAGATGGTTGCTATGGCGACATTACACAGCCTTTTTTGAGTCTATGGCACTTGGAAGGGGCAGCTGTTATTAAACACAGGTCAAAATACCAGAATGACTGATTCAAAGTAATTAATGTAATGAATGTACCGTAATATTTTACATATTTAGCAATCATAAGCCATAGTACATACGCATTGACATGATTAAAGAACGGGAAAGGTTTATGGCTTTTGTAGAATTCATACTAAATGCTGATATAAATGTTTGCCTGATTCACCGCTTGCCATATGTATCATAATACATGTGAATATACGAAAATAATTGAATAATGTGCCATTCTAATGTTCATCAATAATAGAAATCTAATAATGTTTGTTTATGAATATAACTGTTACGTTCCCCGTGCACTGCAGGAGTGTTGTTTATTGTTTGATTACACTTTGATTGGTTTCCTGTGAATTGCCCCTCCTCTAGGTCGCTGTGACTGGCGGATCGGTCGTCAGTGGGGCGGAGGACGAGGGCCAATCAGGAGACGGAGACGCTGCTTAAGAGGGACGGCGGGCTCATTCTCTGGGACCCCTCTCTCAGTATTGCTGACGCTCAGGGCCGCCGATTGTGGGCTGCTCTCCGGCACCCAGATTGTTGTGCATTTCAGACTGTTTTGGATAAGTGTTTTCGTGTCGTGCCGATGTTGTCAATGCAGTCCTCCATCCGCGGCAATGGAAAACAATCCGGTACCTTCACGCACCACAGTATTAGAGCATGATATTAACGTGGGGGATGCTGTTCCGGTCAAGCAACATGCGTACCGCATGAACTCAGTGAAGAGAGAGCGTATGCGGGGAGAGGTTGAGTATTTGGTGGAGCATGGATTGGCTCAAGCCAGCTGCAGCCCCTGGAGCTCTCCATGCCTCCTGATACCGAAGAGTGACGGCACTGATCGGTTTTGTACGGACTATCGTAAGGTTAATGCGCTCACGGTACCGGATTGTTTTCCATTGCCGCGGATGGAGGACTGCATTGACAACATCGGCTCGGCCCGTTATGTCAGTAAATTGGATCTACTAAAAGGGTACTGGCAGGTGCCGCTTACGTCTCGCGCTTCTGACATCTCCGCTTTCGTGACACCGCATAGTTTCCTGCAATATTCTGTGATGGCGTTCGGCATGCGTAACGCACCGGCTACTTTCCAGCGACTCGTTAATCGTGTGTTGTCGGGGGTGCCTAAGTGTAACGCGTATCTGGATGATCTAGTAGTGTACTCGTCCGACTGGCCCGAACACATTGCTTTACTAAGAACGGTTTTCGAGCGATTACAAGAAGGTTCGTTGACCTTAAACTTGGCCAAATGTGAATTCGGTCAGGCTACAATCACGTACCTTGGAAAGGAGGTGGGTCACGGGCAAGTGCGGCCGATCGAAGCAAAAGTCACTGCGATATCTGAATTTCCTGCTCCCGCCACCCGTCGAGAACTTCGTCGTTTTCTAGGGATGGCTGGCTATTACCGCAGCTTCTGTAAAAACTTTTCGACGATTGCCCAGCCGTTGACGTCGCTCCTCAGTCCGTCGCGGACGTTTTTGTGGTCCACGGAATGTGAGCATGCGTTTAACGCGATCAAAGATCTTCTGTGTAACGCACCTGTTTTGGCCGCTCCAGATTTTGATTCTGCTTTTAAACTCGATGTGGACGCGAGTTACGTGGGTGCGGGAGCTGTGCTAATTCAGGGCGGTAAAGATGGTATTGACCATCCCGTCTGCTATTTCTCGCGCAAGTTTAATAAGCACCAGTTAAACTACTCGACGATCGAGAAGGAGGCATTAGCCTTGCTGATGGCCCTTCAGCATTTTGACGTGTATGTGGGATCGAGTATTAGTCCCGTTACCGTGTTTACTGATCACAATCCGTTAGTTTTCTTATCTCGTATGTATAATCAGAATCAGCGTTTGATGCGCTGGGCGCTGATTGTACAGGGATACAATTTGATAATCAAACATAAAAGAGGCGTAGAAAACGTGATCGCCGATGCCTTGTCTAGAGTTGCCTCTGGCGGCGTGTGAGTACGATCGTTTGAACAACTATATGCTGAGTAGTTTTTTTTTACATATAGTTGGTTCTTAAGGGGGGAGGTGTTACGTTCCCCGTGCACTGCAGGAGTGTTGTTTATTGTTTGATTACACTTTGATTGGTTTCCTGTGAATTGCCCCTCCTCTAGGTCGCTGTGACTGGCGGATCGGTCGTCAGTGGGGCGGAGGACGAGGGCCAATCAGGAGACGGAGCCGCTGCTTAAGAGGGACGGCGGGCTCATTCTCTGGGACCCCTCTCAGTATTGCTGACGCTCAGGGCCGCCGATTGTGGGCTGCTCTCCGGCACCCAGATTGTTGTGCATTTCAGACTGTTTTGGATAAGTGTTTTCGTGTCATCAGCGGCATCAGCTGCAAAACCGCGCCGGGGGGAAGAACGGTAGGTTAGTATATCGCGATATACATCCTGCCCGTAGTTGTCCTGTGTATAGACACCCTAGGGTAGAGGTGAGCGCCACCCCCTGTATTTTTGTTATTAGATAGGAGGTGTAGGCGCCGAGTGCGCGAAGACTCCGTTTTTCTTTCGACCTTTTTCTTTGGATAGGGGTAGGTCGAGGTAGGGGTGTTTTGGTTATACTTGGTTCTCTCAGTTGGCGCCGCCTACGTTCTTTCCCCAATGTATTCAGGTAGGGGTGCTTATCCCCCTCTTTTCGACTGGGTCCGGGGAGAACAATAAAACCCCAGTTTTTTTTCTTTTACAACGTGCCTGCCTTGTCTCCTTTCATTTACCTCTCCCCCGTGATACATCGACAAATTTTAGTGTTACGGCTGTCCCTAGACCGCCAGTGATCGTAACAATAACTGTTTGGCCACAGTCAAATAAAAATGAAAAAACAGCTTTGGCGCAAAAACTATGGTTGATGACACTCTGGTCCCATATTCAAACTCGGAAGAAAGCTTGCGTTTTTAGTAAATAGTGTACCTCGAACAAATGAAGATTATAACTCAGACAAGTGATGGAAAGCGAGGGTTTAAGAAAAACAGGGTCAGAGCATGTGAGTAAAAGCATCAGCTGCATCCAACCGGGATCCACTGGTTTGCATTATTAAGATCTGACGCTACGAGTATTGATGAGAGAAGAGACACAGTCAAACATTCCATTGAAATAAGCATATTAAGCCTGAGGGCCTTTTGGTGTGTGGTGTCACCAAAGGACATTCCATAGAGTGGTTGTATAATTTTGTATTTAAAACACAATTAACTATTTTTTGATTTTTTTTAAACAGAAATGTGTTGTTGTTTTTTTAATTCATGTAGAATTAATAGCAGCCTCTGCGCTTCAGAATAAAAACACAAAACGCAAAAAATAACATGTCCAGTAAACAGCATTGGTGTCACAACTCCAGTGTGAACCCAAATGTAAACTATGCAAGGTAGATCGTGACAAGGTGAGTATTTATTGGACAAGGGGGACATCCGGTGATGTCGTGACGTGGGGGAGAGGTTCAAGTTGCCAGGCGGGAGTGACGGGAATCCAGGGTGAATGAACTAGGGTCGGAAATAAAAGCAACAGGTAAGTACACAAAACCACTACAAAGAGTGAGTCGCTTTTCAGGCCGACACGCAAGCACACATAAGAATATGGCTAAAGATCCGGCAGGGACTGGATGTCAGGTCTCGACTTAAACATTATTGTGACGATGATCAGGATCAGATGTGTTTATCGGGCACAGGTGGGAGCAGGGACCGGTGATCCTGGTACTCCCGCCTTGTCGTCGTTGCTCGGCAACCGGAACAAACAGACAGACAAACAGGAAAAAACTCTGGGGTAGTTAGGTCACTAACAGAATCCTCTGGCTGCCGGTGTGATGAAAGATAACCCTTTGTGGTTATATTTCTGGGGTAGTGGTCTCACCAAATGGCTCACGAATGACGCAAACATTTTTAAGTAATCTTGTCTGGGATTAGAAGATATTTCTAAAATGCAATTGTAGTCCTTGTAGTCTGGCCCGCAATGCAAATATATTTGCAGAATTATTATGGAGACTGCTTATGATGGGGGGAGATTTGAGAATAATGGGTCCAACGAATACTAAACTAGCCTAAACTGTTTTACAATTTGATTAGTTATGCAAGTGACATTTTTAATGTGGTTTACATTTTCACTTAAGCCTTAAGCCCAACCATGATGTTTTCAATAAACTAATTTGTTGAGTTGCGTAAACATAAACCGCAACCGTTTCTTCCTAACGACGAGGACAGAGTGTCATTAAATCACCTGATCAACAGGGTAAGGTGTGGCCAGCAGCAATCGGGAAAACAAAATAAATTAGAATCATAACAAATACAATTGCAAACAAGCTGTAAAGATGGGCCACTATTTCATATGACTGCACCTCCAAAAAATCAAGCGGAACCAAGGGGAAATGCACTGTGTTCCAACCACGCCCTCAGAGCGGCTCATGTTACAGACTATTAGTTGCAAAACGAGAGAGTTGCGATGTGCCAACTTGGACAGATTTTTGTCTGGTATAAAGCACATTATTATTATATTATTAACAGCTTTCAATGTTCCTACATCATCAAAGGGGTGGTTGACAGAAAAGGTTTTTGGAACCGCTGCATTACACATATAGGAAACTGTGTGATGCTAGATTGTATGCCACCATGGTTTGGACCTGAAGAAATACATTTCAATGGACCAGAGACAAATAATATTTCTGGAAAGTTACTTACCGCAGAAATGCGGTAGACATTCATTTTTTAGTGTTGCAGTGGAAAGCGGCGAAACTTGAGTATTCTTGCTAAGTGCTAATCAAGTTCACTTAGATAGCCGTTTTACGCTTGGACAGTGGCTTTCTGTGTTATAAGCAAGCCACACTTGCATTAAGAGGTGTCCAAATGTCTTGAGTTAAAAGCATGCATTACTAAAGAGACGGCACAACTCTCCTTTCACTGGAAGTGCTCCCCAGCCATTTGGTGTCTCACTGTAATTGTGTTGTTTCATCTACAGTTAGACTGCAGGGTTCACTATGTTGACTTGTCAGACCTCCATCTAGAGTCAAAATTCCCTACTTGCTCATATGCACACACAAACGGCAAAAAGAATAAACACAAACATAGCAAACACTTCATTGCCGTGGATGTTGTTGATCACCTTAAGGTGTGCAAATATTATTAGAGTATTTGCAGCAAAACATTAGCCCAGTCATTATCTTCCATAAATATTTCATTTGGTATCCCTGTTATGGCATTTCATTTCATTATATTTACAGCAGCCAGCAAATTTGGCATGATTACCGTTTCTTTATTTAATGACTGTGTAGCTTAGTTGGTCTATATCAATTGAGGGATAATATACCACAGTGAAAGTTGTTTGAATTCTAAATACCGACCAAATGAAATGAATGCCAATAGAAAAATAAAGCAATCCATTTCTAAAATGTATTTTCTTGTGATAAAGAGTCATGCAGATTTATATTGTATTAGCCTTCTTCGTCCTTTAGATAAACACACACCATTTCTGCACTATAGAAAAGCATTTTTTTTCAAATTTAAGACAACTTGTAGGACATCAGATAATGTATTGTCTCTGTCAACATTTTCTTCATTCCAGGAGAAATAAGGTCAAAATGATCAATCACTTTTTACATGTACTGTCGCTTTTTTCCCCCTTCACTACAGGCTAAATATACTACAAACTTGTTTTCATTGTTAGCTTCTAGCTTCTATTTTATAGCTTGTAGCTTCTAACTTGTTGGAGTTGTGTTCAAACAGATCAGACAAATTGTAGCCAAGAATAATGCTATGTTCACACCAAACGCGACGCGGGTCTGTCACGCCACAGGATTACAGACTCAATGAAAATTACTTTTTTGAGATATATACATACGCGACGCGAGTCTGTCACGCCACAGGATTACAGACTCAATGAAAATGACTTTTTTGAGACGCAATCCTGCAATGGCACGTTTCTCGAGTTGAGTTTGCGGCAAAGTTGCGTCAAACGCAGCAAATGTGAATGTGAAATATTTCAACTTCGGCAACGGAAGGACATGACGCTGCGGTGCGATGGCCTATCAGCGTTGAAATGCTCCCCGTCGTCACTGACGTCATGCAGGCAGCGGTACCCCCGGCTGTACGATACAAACATATACATTGGATGTGCTTGAGCAGACAGTGCCTTGCCACGAGACAGTTCCCTCAACCGAGAAGTAGGACGTTCAGCTGAGCATTGGTTGGTTGAGCCAACGAGCTATGAAACGGGATAGCAGCTAGCATCTTGTACCGCTGAAAGCAGCAAGCTACCGATGTCATGAAGAGAATGTTTGGGTAGCATAATTGATTGATCGATTTTGAGCATTAACAAGAATATCTCACTGTGAACTTATAATGTCAATATTAATCATACGGCTTCACCACCAGCAAGCATAAAATCTAACGGCTGGCACTGTGGAAAACCTTGCGTCGAGCATTAACACTTATCTTTTCAAACTATGGGAAAATCTGAGTACAAGCATTCAGAACAGAAAAAGGTTTCCATTATTAACATAAATACTTTGACAATACAATAGATTTTGGCAGCATTGTTGACAATTGTTATTGTGAGCATGCTGTGGTAGATTACAGGAGAGGTGAGGGGGTTGGTGATGGAGGGGAGGTATCTTGCGGCCAGATGGCTCAACCTCGAGCCTTATCTGGACTTCCTGCCTAACGAGGAGAGGGTGGAAACAGTTTAGGGATTGAGGATGGCATAAACAGGTAGAAGAGGAGAGAAAACAGAGAAGACCAAGTGAGACGTAGTTTCGGAAAGTAGAGTAAAGAAGATTTAACAAACATTACCTGGATTAACCTGGACTGGCTGACTACTCCCTGTGTACTGAACTGTTTTGGAAGAGGACGCGCTTGTGTATGACCTGGTGAAAGAAGACGACGAGAACGGCTTGTGAATGGTGACGTGGTGTTGAGCTGTAAACAGTTTACAACTCTACCCAGGGGCCGGCTTGTGTTCTTGAATGGTGATGTGGAAACCCACAACCGCGGGCCTACGACAATGCTTTATGCAGTTTCTAGAGGGTTTTGCAGGGTTTTTGTATTGAATATTGAGACCGCTACCTCCATAGATTTGAGATAAATTATATTTTATATTTGAGAGTCACTGTTGTATAAATGAGAGCATGCATGTAGATGCCACAGAAAGCACAAACAAGAGAGATGGACATAAAAAGGGGGAAATAGTTCCGTGCAGCAAGTGTCTCAATGTAGTCCTGACTGAGAACAAGCCACTTTGGACCGAACGCTGTTCAAAGTTAACGGGGGCACTGACCTGACATATCTTGGTGAGTAACTGTTGTGAATGCTGAGCTTCATAAATAATGGAGAGGAATTTGAGCTTCTACAGATAAGAGCAGCTTACTTGTTCAGAGTGTCTTTTTCTCTCGCGTTGGCTGAATTTGTGAGGATTTTATCGGAGATGACCTTTCTTCGTTTTTGGATTGCATCTTTTGCATTTCTCCCTTTTTGTATTATTTCTGAGATATCCTGGTTACAAGTGGAACACAATTGCATCTGAATACGTTGTATAGGATAGTCTACTTACTAACTGCTATCTTTTTTTAAACATCTGCCCCATGTAGAGGACTGATTTAGGTTTGTAATATCTGTGTTCATCATTAAATAAAACTACCAAAAAAGGCATTTTAATTAGGAGCAGCCTATTTGTACCCAAGACTGACGGGGCGCCTGCCCCCATAGATCTTGTTGAGTCTCAAAGAGAAGTAAATACAGCACAGTGTGTAATCCCAGTTTAAAATAATACATATTTTCTGATTCTAGTTCTTGAGGAAACAAATGGGCTTTTGCTCACTCTCTCTCTCGCTCTCTCTCTCTCTCGTGGTGGTTGGGTGCGTGGTGAGCTGGAGAGTTTGGTTATTTTCTCAGACTGTCTTTCTGCCTTTCCTCATATTTCACAGGCTGAATGAGTATTTGTAGTCTGTAATGGTCTTTTGGGAGGGTTTGGTGGTGTTTTAGGGGACAAAGGACGTGCATCGTGTCGGGGATGGCGTCCTCCGAGACACTGTCTTTGAGGGATGGGGTTCGGGTCCAGCTGGAATCTGGTGTTTTGGTAGAATTAGTCTTGCTGGACCCCTAACTGTAGGAGAAATCCTATTTCAAACACATCACTTACCTCCATCCTCGAAGAACCCACGCGGTCTCTTTCTGCATTTGGATTGGAGCAGAACCCTCAGGTCTGCCCTATGTCCACACATTCATCGGTACTCACCATACAGATCCACAACCTGGGCTTCCGACCCAATTTCAGAATCAACCATTGAACCAGAAGACCACCTAGCATGATGACCGTCCCGTACCTAAACACATTCAACCTGCAATTAGAAGAATCTATACCAGAGTGTAATTTGCTACTTGATGAAAGTGTGGGAACCATCCAGAGGGGAGAAAACCCCTGGAGTCCAGAGACTTGTCCCTCCAGGATGGGGACCTCAACAACCATAAAACCCACCTATCATCTGGGCAGCAATACAAAACGGCATTGTAACCTTAAAGTCCAGCAACCAATAATTTTCTCAGGGGATTCTAATCATCACCAAATTCAGATTCACAGCTTCTCTGTCCTGGAGAAATTGGACCCCTGTCATCAGGTCCAAACGGTCGTCCTCTGCGTAGGGATCAACGACGGCGGGGGGAAGGCGGCAATATCTACGGTGAACAAAATCAAGAATTAGCTGCACAGGCTAAGAAGACTTTTCTTTGTATTTCTCCTCATTCAGTTTCTCCCCTTTTAAGTGTCAAACACATAAAGTGTGTGGAATAGATTAACCTGATCCTGGCAAAAAGGTAACAGAACTCTACACCTGATTGAGGAAAATCAATTCCGTGTGACTCCAAGGAATCTCATCCACTGGACCCCACACACCGCCAACGTCCTCTTCAAATCCTGGATGACTCAATTAAACTTTGATTAGGAGGACCTAAAAACTTTCAGCCCTTTTCCAATGTTCTAAACCTTTCACAAACCGTTTTATCTTACTGAGGAGGAGCTCAGTCTCCATGAAAAGGGCCTCTTTTTCATTCCAACTCCACTGGTGGTGGACAAGAATCTGCTGTGCAGAGACCCCTACAAATATTATAGACAATTTAAAAACTTTAAATATAAAATTCAATTGTTTCACCAACCTTTTACAAGCCCATCTACATGGGAACCTGAGAACCAGTTGATTGCTAAACCAATCAATAAACTAATCCAAAACAGACATCCGGTGTTTTAAAAGGTTGACCTTTAATGGCGAAGCAAGGTATAATTGGTCAATTGGAGAGAGAGATATTATTATCAAACTTGCAGACAAGGGATCTAAACTTGTTATCATGGATAGGAATCAATGTCCAATAGAAGCTTACAGACAACTGAACAACAAAGTACATTACCTAGCTTTCACACAATCTCTGCAATTCCAAACCCAGGCTCAAATACGGGAAAATAGAACACCTGTGGAAAAGAAAGAAAATTACAGAAAAACAAAAACCGTACTTGTCTGGTGAGGATCCTCCACGTCCTCGGATCTTCTTTTTAAGATACACAAGGATCCGGAGACTGGTCTGCCGGCTGGGATTAAATGAGGAACAATTTGTTTCGGACTGTGGGAGAGAGTCCTATCGTATAGCAGAAATATATATATATATATATATATATATATATATATATATATATATAATTATATTTTACTTCAGGACGAGCCATTGCTCCTCTATGCCATTGGCTGACTTTTACTCTACCATGCCAAAAGAACTGAGTATTGGCTTGGTCTAAACCAAGCTGCTGATGTTACTACTAAGTTACTACAGGGAAAAATGTTTGACAGCCCCAGCATTGAAGTCTCGCGGATGTTCATTAGACACTGCCCCAGTAAAGATTAGCACATAGAGGTCAGCTCGTGAAGTGTGTGAAGGTCTTCCACATGTGGGGGTTACCAGAATCAACATGAATAGAGTTGAGGTTGGCGCTAATGCAACTTCAGTTCCAGACATCCCTGAACAGAAAACATCTGTGAGTCAAGAGAACTCTATTCTGGAGGAGTTGATTGGAATGCTAGAAGTGTTGCTCCAGGGCCCGGGTTATACTCAGGCTAAATAAAAGCCACATTCCAACAACAGACTTCCAAAAGTTGAGCGGTTAAATGAGATATCGTATTCCATAGGTAAAGACGCTTCTTACTCTGCCCTCACCCATCACTGCATGAAAAGTGAGATTTTCGTCGCCGTAAACGCCTGGAAATCTCCCGAATTTCTGACAGTTTCTGACAATTTGCAACCCGCGCACGTCGCGTTTGTCTGTGCCACAAATTGTCGGAAACGAACCATGACGTAGGTGGAGAGCTGGCGGAGGTGCGAATGGCCCTAATTAGCATATGAATGCAGCGAAACCGCGGGTGGCCGAGCCGAGTGGGCTTGAATATCCTTACTCCTTATTGGATGAAAACACAACTTTCTAACAAGTAAAATCACTCGTGATTGGCAGCAAAACCACACCTGAGAAGACCAGGCTTGAGTTTCCTTGTTCATGATTGGATGAAACCACAACTTTCAATCACTCGTGATTGGTTGGCAGATCTGTCGCTATTGGTCACCCGCCTCATTTTATTTATATATTCATATTATGCTGTATATTCATTTCATGGTTATCCTATGTAGGCTACTACACTGTTATTAGGATACCAACCAGGACATCAATGAATTTATAGAGAAAATGAACATTTGACACATGTTTATGCAAAGAAAGATCTTTATTAACAACACACAAACAACAACTATATACAAAATGAGGATCTGCCCACACTTAAAGGCGGTTTAAAAAACACTGTCCGTTTGCTCGGGGTTGTAGACTGTCACTGGCGCCGTGTTTTTCGAGGCAGGTCTGTTGTGCAGGCGCCTAGTGTGTGTGGCTCTGTTTTTCCTGAGTCGCCTCTAACCGGGACTGCACTCAGAAATGGCGGCGACCGTACAATCCACCCCGAGACCCCGCCAACAACGGCATCCTCTCCGTCTGACGTGAGCTCTACGGTGGCGGATTCCCAGAGTTCCACCTCGTCATCAGCCAGCACACTTTGTCTCGATTCCAGCAGCTGTAAAAACAACAATCAATCAGTACTGATCGCAATGCGTATGGACACAACACATCGATCAATGCACCTGAAAAAAAGTCAGCAAATAAACTCTGACCCTCTTTCTTCTCGCTCGACTCCGCGCTGAATCCTTCGCAGCTTCCGCCCGCAATGAGTGTTCCGGCTGAACCTGAAGCTCCTGCGTCCCGTCTCAAAATACGTCTCACAGGCGGCTGGAAAACAATTAAATGAGTGTGGTATGAATACAAAAAAAAAATCAAACGCAAGTCACAGTAACATTTAACAAGGAAGGAGAAACAGTAAACAGTGTCACTTACACACAATGACCTCTAAATCTGGACTTTTCCCGGAGCAAATACGAGGTCACCGCCTCATTATAAGGCGAGATTGGTCTGTGAAAACAAAATGTGCAGTTATGATCGGTATCCATACGTATATATTTCCTTATACCGCAGAATGAAAGCATATTCTTTAAATCTTACCCTTGCTCCGGTTCGTGGCGCCTGTAATTCGTCTCGGAGTTGTGAAGACGGCGCACCGCTTCCTGTAAACGACACGGCAAAGAAAATACACTTTAATAAAACTGTTTCTGCTCACTTGTAAGGCTACTAGGCTACTCTTAGCTTTCGTTTGAGGCTACGCTACTTTTAGCTTAGCTTGCAGTCATCGAACGTATTCTTACCGCTATCTTGGGATTGTGCGCCCGTCTCCTCTTCTTTGAGTCAGTTCCTCCAGAACCGCCAACCTCTCCTCCATGGACAGAAACCTGGAGAGTCACGAACGCTCCAGTGGAGCGAACCGCTCGTTGATATTGGCAGTTTGTTGTTGGAGTTGACGAGACAATCCACTGAGAGCATTCAGCAGTTTCTTCTCGTCTGTCTGCGGACTGGCCGAAAGTTGGTGACCGCGGAGAGGAGTTGAAGGCGAGTTGAACGCGAGACGTCGTCCAGCCATTATTCACGAACCAGCAAAAACCAAACAAAGAAACTGGAGATACAGTTCTTCTGAATGTCTGTTTGTATGCTCGTCTTGCAAGTACTGCTGTCTGAGTCATGCCTATGACCTCACACGTGATTGGACGAGGAGTCTAAGGGTCCTCCAATCACATACGAGGTTATTGTTATACGGAAGGACCAGTATTTTAGGAAGACAAATGGTTGTTTTGGTATCAGCAGAACGACTTTCCCTAGAAAACTACAGTGGTGCCCCTTTCTCCATTCCACCAGACAATCTTGGATGAGTCTGACAGACATGCAATGTTGACAATGTATCATCAGATGTACCCTTGTGTCACTGAGGTTGAATGTTTTGCCATGACATGTAAACGGGTAACGTATATGAATGTAACTTAATCGATAGATGCAGAGCATAAAGGTCAGCATACGTTCATGCTAAGTGGTGTGGAAACACTAACAGTTTTGAGGAACCCGTATTTGACCCTCTAGCAGAACTACGACCAGTCATTATAAAGCAGTTCATAGTTGTTAATGTTGTGTCAAAGGGTACGGCATTTAAACAAGTTCTTGCACAAGTTTCTTGGCTTCATCCCAAACCGGACAGACATTATGGAAAGCCAATAGAAGTTTGGGGCTTGCAGGGAACAGACACGTCATACCCAGCATCATTTCTGCCAGTTGAGCGCATTGCTAGAAGATGTGTGGTTAATACATCCTCTGTGCATTTAAGTAAGACCAAAGAAAAGGTCACTGTAGTCCTGCCACTATGCACTGTAGTTGAGCTCTAGGAGACTGATCTCTGCAGAAGTTATTTTACATAACATTTGCCATTGCTAATGGCGTACACAGTAATCTATCATATTTGAATTAAATAAATCAATTCAAGCTAAAATGTAAGAGTCTATAATTAGGCTACTGAGCCTGATCTAGTTGTACCAGAGATTTTCTTACCTTTTAAAAAAATGTCACCTGGGCTAAAACTCCCTCTGCAACCCTTATTTGCATTTGTATAGCTCACAGCATTTTCATGTCAAAGCCTCCCCTAGAATTAGGAGGAGGGGGGTCATGGGGGGACAACTGCCAAGGGAGGCCCACGTCAATTTACGGCAGTTTTCGGCGTTGCCCGCAAATTGCCGTGAACAGCCGTAAACCTGAAATTCCACAACAATCTACAGGGAC